CGCAATTTTTCAGTGAATTACGAGAAGTCCTTAGCTGACCAGATGAAGGGAACAGGTTCCATGGGAGGCTTGAGGGAGAAGGTTTACAACAGGCACCATGGTGAGTGGGACAGTGAATTAGGAAGTGTTAAAAGGAATGACTTCCTGCAGTGAGGGCACAGCTGAGATCATGTAATAAATCTGTGCTGGACATACTCAGCATAGTTTTGTGATTTTCTTTAGTTCCATTTAATAGCATGAGAATAGGGGCCAAGTATATAAATAGTGGGAGTAATCTAAGTTCAGGGTTTAGTTAGATGAGATCAACAACAGGACAAGAGAGCAAAGGTGTAGAAGGCAGTGTAGAATTCAACCGCTTCACCAAGGGGCGTTGACAGGGAAGAGAGAAAAGTGTAGCCAGTACAGGGGCAAAAAGTCAAGGAAAGAACTGAAGGGTAGAGCTTGAAGACCATAGTGGGGATGAAGAACAGGCCATGGCACTGGACAGAAAGATGACCAGATAAAGGAGTTTCAAAGTTCACCAACACAGAAGTTTAACATGTGGATGATAGCAAGACAATGACTATAATCCTCTGAGTATAACCGAGATGGAGTGGAGGAGTGAGTAGGTAGTGGGAAATGAGAAGAACCGAGAAATTGGGGGAGTTAAGGTAGTTGGGAAAGCTTCAGTACATATGCTGAAGTCAGCAAATGTGATGGCAAGTTGGGGTAGACTGTGAACCAGGCAATAAAACTCACTGAGCTACTGCTGATGAGAGACTAAACTTGTGGCCATGTCAGCAAAGAGGACGGATTCAAGAAACATCATGGAGACAGAAATTTGATGAGGTTACCCCGATCTCTTTGCATTCTTTAATACTGTTGACCACTCCCTCCTCCAAGACACTCTCCTCCCCTGGTTTTCCTAACAATGCTCTCCTACCTCCAAGACACTCTCCTCCCCTGGTTTTCCTAACAATGCTCTCCTAATTCTTCTACTTCTATGACCACTCTTCAGTCCCTTTCCTAGAAGTCATCATTGACCCTTCCCCCTCTCCTTTACTGCTAACATCTATCAGTTGCCAATTCTTGTCAATTCTATTTCTACAATCTATCTGGCAACTGTCCTGGGAGCTAACAGATCACTGGTGACCCTGGAAGCCAGAGTACAAGGAGTTAAGAAATGGAAGCAAAGATTGTAGACGCAAGGTGTCAAATATGCACCATGGGCCAGCAACACTCCCCAGTACGGAACCAGATTAAAATCTAATTGGGAAAAATAAATAAAAATACAATAGAAAACCACATATTAACATTATGTTCTAAGTCAACATGCAGACAGGGATCCTTATGTACCTGTTAGTGGCCCCCCCGTTTCTGAGTTTGACACTGATGGAGTAGAGGCTTTCCTAGTTGTTTGGCTATAAAAGGGGAGATTATAGGATACTAATGTGAGGGGATGATAGGACTTAGCGTGTTTTCTTTTTTAATGATGGAGGAAATAATTGTTTTCAAGTAGTAGGAAGGAACTTATGGAAAAGAAAAGATTGAAATTTAGGGAGGGGATATAAGGGACAGCTCTGAAGAAGGGAGGGAATGGGATTTAAAGGTTCAAGCTGAGGGTTTGGGGTTTGCAAGGCAAAGGGCCACCTTCTTTCTGCAAGACTGGAGCAAAGGAGAAGAGTAGGGAATGATGCTGAAGTGATCTGGAGTTCAGAGTTGGGAAAAGGGGTTTCAAGACGGATGGCCTCCATTTTGCCAGTGAAGTATTTATCGAGGTTCTCTTTCGAGAGTAGCGAAAGGCCAGTTTAGGCGGCTTGAAAGGAGGTTTTTAACAGAGGCAAACAGGTAGTTCACCACCAAGAGAACAGAGGGTTTCACAAGGCACTAGGCAAGGAGAGTAGATTTTTAAAGAGCCAACACAACATTAACTTGTTCAAAGGGGCTTCAGCCTCACTAGGGAACCAAGCGGTGATATGGGTAACTGGAGCCTTACGCTTACCTGTGCAAGCAGAGCGGTGGGAAGACGGCTACATCTGGAAATAGGAAACTTCTGAGTATTCTCTCACACACTAACTAGCTGTGCGGTGTTGGGGCAAACTACTTACCCTTTCTGAGCCTGCTGCCTCATCTGTAAAACAGGGAAACAAGCTCAGAAGAGCCATTTTGTCACTACCCTGTTAAACATGGGACCTAAGCCACTCCACAAAAGTTTTCACAGAGGATCCTCATTTTTGCTCTTTGTCAGTGATTTAAAAAAAAAAATACAGTAAGCATTCCACATATACCTCCTATGTTACAGGGTGGTCACAGAAAGCACTCTGCAAATCAAAACATTCTCTATAAAAACGAATGTTATTGGACTAAATCTCAGGTCTCTTTTGCATTGATTTTATGATCCATTTAATCTATGGTGAGCTGTAAAATAGTACAAAGCAATGTCCAAGGGGTAAACAGAATGATTTGATGCTTTAAAATTAACTTTTAGGCAGCTAGGTGGCACAGTGGATACAGCACCAGCCCTAAAGTCAGGAGGACCCGAGTTCAAGCCCAGCCTCAGACCAAACACTTGAAACTTACTAGCTGTGTGACCCTGGGCAAGTCACTTAACCCCAACTGCCTACAAAATAATAATAAAATTAACTTTTGTTTAGATGCAACAGGTCGTTTAGACAGGTAGAGGAGGCAAGGCAGAGATGGGAAGTAGAGAGACAGGGCGGAGAGCTTTGATTGGAGGCAGACTTTGAGAAAGAAGACCCGAGTTTGAATCCTGCTGCATACACTTAACTAGCTATGCATAACCCTAGGCAAGTCATTCACTTTTCTCAGCCTTAGCGCCCTCAACTGTAAAGTAGGTACCACCTACTTTACAGGGCTGTTGTAAGAATCAAGGAGATAGCTTATTTAAAGTGCTGTAAAAATGCTATTATCATTATTTGTTTTTCTTGATCAAATGAGGCTTTTCTGAAGCTCAATCTTCATTGACAAACTTCCTGGAGATTACGAGACAAATTATGCTTTGTTTACAAAGGCTTCCCTAAAAGCAGTTTGGCTTTGAGAAGTTTACTATCAAGTCATGGGTTTGCAGTGGCCAAAACTTCCCCCTCCAAGTGGCTGCACTTCTGGGGACGCATCTTGCCATGCTGACCTAGGCTGGTTCTTGAACTGTGGAGTGTTACTGGTGTCTTCCCAGCTTGGTAGCACCTGCCAGCTCCTGCTCCCCTGGAATGAGCTTCAAGATTCTTAGGGCAGATGAAAAGCAGAGCAGGGACTCTGGATTCCCATTCTCAGCTTTTCAGGATTCCTCTGCTCCCATGCACTCAAAAGAGCCATAGAAACCGCAAAGTAGGGAGAATAATAACTGGGCCAAACTTACTTGGCTCATGGGGTGTTGGGGGGGAGAAGAGGAGGACGAAGGGAGGGACATTAACTAGATAACAACCTTCTTGAGGTTAGATATCAAGCAAGCCTTCAATTAGTTCCTCCAAGGGTTCCCATATACTACCCAAATGTGGCAAATTATATGACCTCCCTGCAGCTGTTCACTCACCAGCACAGAGAGAGAGTTCAGTGTACTCTGATGCAATGGTGTCAAACCCAAAAAGAAATGAGGCCCACTAATCCATACAGAAAGATCACTGTGGGCCGTGTAGTAATTTGGTTTTAAAATGAAATGTTATCTACGTTGTACTGCACTTTCATTATTTTGTTAACTATTTCCCCACTCTGGCTTGGGAGGCACCTGGGACTGTCATGGGCCACCCGCGATGTGTCTGACACCCCTTCTTCAGCTTGATAGTCTGTGAGAACCATCAAGTGCTCTATATATCGATACAGGAGCTCAAATGTTCACCTGACTGGAGAACTCACCTTGAAGGCTGAGCTGCCACGCGCAGGGCACACATCACGAGCCTGATGAACCTCCAGGGTCTGGACTAGTCCTGGCTAACAGAGAGCTCTTCCCCCCTCACCTTTTTCTTCAATACTGGGAAAGCATACTTGAAGACTTGATATGAGACATTCAAAACTCCAATGTCATTACTAACCTTCTGTCTTACCCAGTCGATCCTCCCAGATCTGGATCACTTTTTGGTTTCAGAGGAAGGGAGAGGACAAGGGGGAAAACAAATGTGGGAGCTTCTGGGGGACTCACTTTGTCATCCCGCTGTCCACACCATGTTTCATTCAAGCTGCCAATTCTAGAAACACAGGAAATAGCACGCGTCTACATGGAAGAGTACGTCACGTGCAGTGACTATTTCCCCCAGCTCACATGGAGGATGCTTTCCTGGGGACAGAGGAGTCCTCATACTCAGCACCAGATGCACTTCTGAGCCCAAGGCATCCCTTAGGACCACCCGTGGTAGTGGCACCAGTGGTAAGAGAGGACCAAGGGAGAAGCATCACCAACCCAGAGGAATCTGTACCCAGCACACCTGAGCAGATGAAAGTAGTGTCAGCTGGAAGAAATGCACTCAATACTGTGATAATTCAACAGATGGGAGGAGCTGCACCAAATGTGTCTTCTATCTGCCAATCAGATTCAACAAGGGTAATAAAACACAATTATTTTATTGATTTCTTGCAAATACCGCCAACTAGCATTACTTCCATTCATGCACCATTCAAAACAAAGGGATAATTCGGTGGGTATTTTTTAAATGATGCGTAACATTTTAGTAACAGCAAACAGAAAGTTAAAACTGATGATGCACCCTGATTATGTAAACTGATAATTTTTTTTAAAAAAGCAGAACTAATAATTTGGTTCCTTTCTTCATAAAGTGGAAACTGAAACATTTCTCCTAATAGTCTTGAGGTTATCATCATGTTAGGAGTAGTGCAAAGTGTGGCACATGGAGGATCATCTAGGGAGGCATGTAACTGACACGCCTCATGAGAATTAATAAATTGTGCATAACAAAATGCATGCAGTCAATGCATGATAGAAAGCATCTTTCCAATACAAGGCCACCCTTGGGCTCCTGAATTAATTCAATTTTGCGTTATCCTTTATGGCATTATAGATTAATTATTACATATAGCATAACCCTGAAGTTAAGAGAAGGAAAATAACTGCTGCTTGAAAAAAGTTATTTCGGGTCGCCATTTGGTTTGAACGGGAGAGAGACCCTCGAGAGGTCAGCGCCTGCCACCTGCCGCTTCCTCAGCCCCGGTCAATTCCTCAGCTGTGCGAGGTGCTTCACAGTGACCGTGGTCTACAGCATGGCCAGGCCTCTTCTCCTCCACCTGGACTGGACCATCCCTAGCTCTGTGGTTTTCCCTTTTTGCTGTTTTCACTGTATGATTTCCTCGCCCTTACCACCACCATTTTAGCCCCTTGTGAGCTTCCATTTAACTGTTCATAAGTCCTTTCAGAATATCTTCAGGGAGCTCCAGAAGCTGGAGCTCTGGGGATGGAAAGTCCAAGGGAGGAAGGTTGGGGATGGGAATGTCCTTGGCTTTCCCCGTGTTGGCTGCAAATTCCTGCCAGGGAGAAGAGGCTGAGGCAGTCTCTACAGGGGGAGGCAGGCTCCATAATTCAGATTTTTCTACAAAGTCAGCATCTACATCCAATTCCTTGTCAAGGGGAGCCTTCTGGAGCCTGGCCTTTTCAGCCCGCAGCTGCTTGTTTTCTCTCCTCAGCCTTTCGTTGTCGGCCACAAGAAACTCGACGTGCCGCTTCAGATCGGCGATCTTAGTCGCCTGCTCTTCTATCATCGTTCTGTCATCTTTGGGGACTTTGCTGCCAGCACACGGTTCTGTCGGGTCTTTCCTCTTCTGGAGGAGAAAAAGAAGAGTGTCTGGGTCCCTGTCGAGGACCCCCGGCACTGTGGCAAGATTCAACTGCTGAGACCGGGGCACGCTGGGGCCCTCAGAACTGTCCTCAGCCAGCGGCCTGCACGACATCAGGAGATGAGGGGTTCCATCAGCAGTCTGTTGTGCTTTCCACCTTTCCTCCCGCTTTGCTCTTTTCCACCTCTCCTGAATAAGCAAGAGTTGTTTCATGTGGCTATCCCTTTGTAATTCCAGTGATAACTGAGCCTAGAAAGAGGAAAATGGTCATTTCCAGAAGTTACAAAGCTAAGGCACTTCAATGCTTCTCCATATTCCTTTCAAGTTCCCTACTCTTGGGTCCAATCTGCTAATAATGTGGAGTTACATAAAGAAAAACTACAATATTATCATTTTAATAAGCTCTCTTTAGTCAAAGAATCAATGAGAAAAAAAATTCAAACTTATCAAGATTTAGAAAGCCTGAAAATTTTGCTGAAGGATAGGCTGGCTATCAATTCATCTAGAGAAAGAGATATAATTCCAATAATATATTTCCCCAAATAAATGTCTGGAAATACCTATTTTTTTCCAAAGTGCTTAAAACACACCAAAGCCATCTGCTCCAGTAGCCAAGGTCCCCCTACCCACCAACACTGAAATCTGAGGGTGACGGTTTTTCTCAGGCCACTTGGATAAAGCTGAAATTCCTTCTGCAGCCAGCTGATGAGAAGAAAGGGGATGATGACTAATAAAAAGGCTGGTCTTCCACAGGGGCTCACAAGACACCATACTATGCTTGCCAGGAGGAATTGCGACACACCACAGGAGAGTCAAAAGGCTCATGTGTCAACAGGAGGTTCAGTTCGGGAGAATTTGGGGGACCCCTGGCACAGCACAGACTGTGAGAACCACTGATCTATAGGGTAGCAAGCTTGGACCTCTCAAAGTTAGGTAGTCATGGATGGCCCTTACTCATTTTTTCCCTGAGTAAGTGCAGAGCCTCTTAGGAAATGAATCCATAAGCCCAAGGGCAATGGAAACCCTAAAATCACTCTTATTTCCATTTGGAGCAACAGGAGGGAGGAGCCCATTGCTTCTACTAATAAATCTGCTGAACCAAAAGGCTACAAATACAACCCAGGAACTAAATTTCTACTTAATGAGGCCATTTAAAATGACTCTCTGCACAACCTGGAAGGGTTTACCTGCTGGGACACCAAGCGTGCGCGCACACACACACATGCGCGCACACACACACACACACACACACACACACAAATCAACCTGGAAGGCACTACCAGATGAGTAGAACAAACAAACGCCATGGAAGCCGAGAACAGGTTGAACGGGGCACAAGGTGAGAAGCCCAGGTGCCTGGCACTTCACCCCTCAGGCTCCTCAGTTCTTTCATTTGTAGAATGAAGAGCTTGGGCCAGATGGCCCCTGAGGGCCCTTGCAGTTCTAATCTCTGATAATGTCCATCTAGGATCCAAAGACAGTCCTTTTCTTTCCCCTTGGGCAAGGGTCTGTTTAGCTCAAGGAAGCAACATTTCAAAGGTCTAGAGTGACTCTGACTGGTACTCCAGACTGAGACTGGGCCATCTGGCCATGTACTGAAAAGCAAACTGACAGTGCAAAGAGATCAATATTTCTGCAAGGGGGGCTGCAGAAATACTTTTTCTGGTAGGAAACTGGAAGCAGTCCAGATGCCCACTGATTAGTAATAAAACTGTGCTACATGAATGTAACGGAATATAATTGAGCTGTAAGGAACAATGGATACGAAAAATTCAGAAGTTTGAGAAGCAAATGAACTGATGTAAAAAAACAGAGAATCAGGAAAACAATATACATAATGCCTACAATGATGTCAACAAGGGGAGAGGAAGCCATACAGTGACCAAGCAGCCCCAAATAAGAAATGAGCACAGCTGTGCTCAACTGCTCCCTCTCCTCTTAAATCTCCATAACAAAAGGAGGCTCACTGCGCAGGAGGGATATATGCAGAAAAGAATGTGACATCAAAACCTGTGGCCTCAATAAATGTCTCCTTCCTAAGGGACCTACCACTGTCCACACGTGAATGTCTCAGAGGCTTCCCAGGCAGGGTATTTTACAAGACCTAGTCTGGGTAACAAGACTTGATGTGACATTCCTGGGCCTCAACTATAAACTGTCAAGCCATCCTTTCTTACAAATGTAAGTAAAGCATCTCACCTGCTCAGACTGTGTCAGCTTCATGGCTTCAGAAAGATATGCTATATAAAAAGAGAGACATATTAATAATATTAATAAAAATTAATAAAAAAAAAGTTTTGCAAAGAACACAATAAGTATAAATTTCAAATAATATAAACTGTCAAAAACACTGATATTAAAATTGCACTTGTATAACCAACAGAGGGTTGCCTTCCAGGAAAGATGTTGAGAACAAAGGGTGACCTTGGGTAAATCACTTCCCCTGTGAGCCTATCACTACAAAATCACCACTGCTCACTAACGCTAAACCTTCTGTCTATACCCTTAATCCCAACTGCTCTAAGCCTCTTCTAGCCCTTGGCTCTACCAATGCAGAGGAATCAGGCAGCTCCAGTACCAACGGTGTCTTCTATAACTAAGGAGCCAAAGGGCGGAGCTTACAGCACAATGCCATTCCATTCCATTTATTTAGAGGCCAGCTAGGTGGTGAAGTAGACAGACTGCTACGCCTGGAGTCAGGAAGCTTCATCTACCCGGCTTCAAATATGGCCTCAGACACTTATACCCTAATTGATGGGTACCCTGTTAATTTCTAGTTCTTTACCACTACAAAAATAATTCATTATAAAGTTTTGCACTTTATGACCGTTTCCTCTTTCTTTGGTCTCTGGGGTACAGGCCCAGTTCACTTTCTCAAATGTAGTATCTTATTGCATAGTTTTCCTCTGCACCCAGACCTCTGCTCTTCTATATGGAGAGCTCAACATTCATGCCAACATCCCCTCAAACAATCGGGCCTCCAAGTTCGCCAAACTTATGTCTCCTGACAGTCATTTTCCACTTGTACCTCTACCACTGCAAAGAGGAAGCCTCTCCCTTTTGATTATAATCTGCGAGGTCAGGACTATTACTGTGGTCTCTTCTCTCAACGGCAGCCCTCAATCCATCACTCCTTTTCTGGCTGCACTTCTGTTTTCTCTCAGACTTGACTCTACTATATTCTTCCCTTAAATCTTCCATCCCCTGGTCTTTCCACTATTCGGGCCATGCCTGAATCCACTTTCTCCCCTACACTTGAGCTGCTAGAAGTAATACAGTCTTAATCTGCTGTAATTTTGTGACTGTGTTAGCCATCTCCACCTACTGGATATACTCTCCTCCTCCCTTGGTTTCACAGACATCATATGTTACTGGGAGAGAGATACAAAGACAAAAAAAAAAAGTGTTCCTGCCCTCTAGACTCTCCTGGATCTGTCATTTACTACCTATATGACCTTAGGCAATCACCTGACCTCTAAAGGGCCTCCATTTTCTAATTATAAAATAAGGGATGGAGCTGATAACTTTTAAGATGCCTCTAATCTGTCTTCATCTTATCACTGCCAGAATAATTTTTATACATGGATTTGGTCATTCCTGCCTTGGACCAAAAAACTGTAGGCTCTCCTACTGACTTCTGAGTATAGTTTGATCTTCTCTGCCCATCATTCATTCAAAGCCCTCCACAGCCTGCAACCACCTTATCTTCCTAGCTACCTCACATGACTCCCCTCCAAACATTCTATAATCCAGCTAACCCCTTGGACATGCCTTTATGCTCTTTGGTCTCAAGGCCTTGCCTCAGGCCACTTCTTGTGCCTTAAATGACCTCTTTCTTTCCCTCTCTTCACCTGCTGAACTGCTACCACCCTTTAAAACCTAATTCTCATGTCACCATCTCCATGGAACTTCCCCCTGGCTGGCAGCCGCCCCTTTCCCCGCAAACCTCACACAACACTTCACTTTGTAACTTCCCAATGCACTTCTGCTACACTCAACAGTGCCGTCTTATCCTTAAAGCTACATCCCTGGAAGGCAGCACCATGTTTTAGCTACACCTTATATGTACCCACTGCCTCAAATCCCACACAGCATATCTGTATTGAATATGTGGCTTGACATTCTGCTATGTTCTCCAGCTCTGGAATCTAGGAACCAGCATTGAAAGAAGAGAGCAATTCAATTAAGGACACTTTAAGTGAGGAAATCCCCTGATCCAACTGAGGGGATGTTGTCTTTATGTCTGCACATTCATTGTGAATGAAAAATAAATTTGATTGCTTTCTCATGATCACAGAAGCCCGTGAAAATGACAAAACCGCAAACCAAGAATGAAGGATTGCTACTGCAAAACCATCATTTACTCACTAAAAATATGCAAATCATTTCAAGCCCATCATACAGTTTGTTCTGAAAAGGGATAGGAAAAAAAGTGAAGCTCCTCAAGACTCTTTGAAGTGAAGTCTGATGAGGACATTTCACACACGCCCCACTTCTGTCGGCTCAAGTTTGCAGAATCACAGACTTCTGGGCTGGAAGCTTGGGGGTGCTCGAGTCCAACCCTCTCCTGCTGTGAATGAGGAGACTGAAGCTGAGACAAGTCACTTTCCCAAAGTGTTAAGTGGAAGGGGTAGGACTTGAACCCAGACCCTAGATCCACCATACCTGCTCTTCTCCCAGTCCTGTTCAGAGCTATGTTTAAAGACTCATATGAACCATATACTTGGAGCCACAGTGTTGGAAAAGACATTTTGAGAATCAGTTCAACTCCCTCACTCACAAAGGAAAAACCAGAACCAGAGAGGTTCCCATGCTTTGCCCAAGGTCACACAACTCAATCACAACAGACCTCAGGCACATTTCAAACACTAAAACGTTCAATCCTACAAAGTCTGATCAAACTGCTCTTCACCCTCCTCCCTACCCCCCATTTTGACTAAATGTGGTACCCAAACCCAGTATTTAAAGTATATTCAGGGTAACTGGCAAGCAAAAGGGACTAATTCTCAGGCACCCTGCTGATTTTTTTTAAAGCAATATCTATTAAAATTCTCTCAGCAATCTGTTAAACTATTACCAAAGCACAAAGCCATGATTGTGCAGCCTGATTGCAGAAATATGGCAAAGCATGTCCCATGAATGATGGACACCGATCTGCTCCAGTAGAAATGTAATGTGCCCATTGTCCTCAGCTTTCCCCTCTCTACAGCCTCTCTCCCCGCCAGCCACATGAGGACAGAAAGCCAGAGATCTGTTTTCATCTACAAGTTGGTCAAACAAGTTTTCAGATGTTCAGTGTGCTCTTGGGTCACCTCAATTGTTCCCTCTCTGAATCTCTCTCTTGACAGCCAAAGTCCTTTGGTCTGGCCCTGCTAGCTAGCTGCCTTATGTTTTCATCGGCCAACTAAGCGCTCGCATGACCGCCAGGAGCCAGATGGCCAGCAGTCGTGTTGTGCCCATCTCACTTTGCTAAATTCCTTAAGAGTCTGCCAGAATCTCACATTCCCTTTCTTTCCTATAAGCCAAAGTAACCTCATTTTGGGTGAAGTTTAGACAGGATTTCTGCTCCTGACCCCACTGTTTACTGGTCAGCTTGTTTCCTTACAGCAACTACACTCACACTTATTTCTAGCAGCAAGTTCCTAACTTACATGAGTTCCTTGTCTCAATTCATTTACAAACTAAATTCTCAAGAAAAGTGGACTGCTCACAGACAAACCATGAAGCCATTTTAGTCACTCCACAATAAGGAAAGAAACCGTACCTTTACTAAAAGCAGGGAAGGCCAGAAGTAGAGCTCTGGAACATGCTCACCGAAGAACCTCTGAGCTCCTGGTGCTGACTCAGAAGTGGCCTCAATTTATTCTTAACTTTCCCCTGTTCCCATGTCCTAAGACAGGGATTTAACTTCAGACTGCTGTTCAAAATCCTAATTTGTTTCACCCAGAACATCTTTTCTGTAGATTAATAATTTCCACTGTGGACCTTCATTATGAGTTACATTGTGCACCTTATTTTAGAAAACACGAGGGTGTCTATTTCTGTATATTTCGAATCAAAATAATTTGCTATACTTAGAATACCACAATACAGCACTAGATAAAGACTAATTGGTTTAAAATTACTAAAACCAAGAAAACCACCCAGCCCCATATCTAAGTCAATTATCTTTGTCGGACTTACTAATCAGACTTGAGTAATATGTCTCTTAATTAAGCTGACAAGCTCTGGAAGTCTGCTTCCTTTCATTTCTCTACACCTGAACGTGACAAAAAATCAGGACAGAGAATTTTAGAACCAAAAGGGGTGTTCAAGTGATGCACTCTGAGGGTTCTTCTCAGAATGAGAAAGCAGATAAAGGTGGCTGACACTGGTCCAGCCACTTAGATTCAGAACCCCAAATGGTCAACTCTTTGAAATCCACGCCCACCTCCCTGGGTGAAATAGTGAACAAACTGATACTCATCCTACAATCAGTTTCTGTCATTACAAATTGATAGGCTCCATGGAATTCCCCCAATAATCTCTGACCAGCCTTAGGACGCCATCATAGGTTCTTATAAGATTAATTCTTCCATGCAAGAAGGAACAAGTCCGAGAGGCTGATTAGCACGCAGCCATCACCACCAGTGGAAAAACAAATGTTCCACTGGAGATTCTACATGTGAAGGCCAGAGTGTTATTACTGCTCTTTCCATTCTAAATAAAGGACTGTGAAGACATGTGTAGGGGAAGTGAAACTGCTCAAGTTAGCACAAAAGTTACTATCATTTAGTGGGAACATTTCTTCTAGAACACCTACCAGCCGCCTGTTGGTGACACAAAATGGCTTCTTCGTATTTCCCTGCAGCTAACAACCGGTCTGCTTTCCTGCTCTGCTGATGAGCCTGGAAAACAAAAATGCCAGAGGGCTGCTGAATAGGGGACTCAGGGCAAGCAGTGAGCCAAGGCAACAATGTCGTGTCCAGAACATGAGGAATAAGAGGCCACATTCAGGTCTGGGTACCATGTTTTAGAAAAGACACCAATAAAGTACAATGGGCCTAAACCAAGTAACCAACCCAGTGACAAAACTGGAGGTGGGCTGAGGGAGCTGGGCATACTGAGCTTAGAAAAATAGGAAGCTGCTTTATGGTATTTGGAGGCTTTCATGTAGGGCAGGGATTAAAGCTTCTGCTTGACCCCACAGGGCAGACAGAACTGGGAGGAAATGAAGAGAGATGGATAAATTTCTTAACACTCAAAGCTGGATCCAAGAGTGGAGTGGGCTGCCAGGGGAAAGTGAGTTTCCTCTCACTGGAAATCGCTGAGCAGAGGTTTGTGGATCATTTCTAGGGAATACTGTAGAATGGACTCTTGTTCAGGCACTAGTTAGACTAGCCAGTTTCTGAGGTCCTATCTAGCTCTAAAATTAGGAAGTTATTAAGGGTGGGAAGAATCAGATAATGAGGGTAAACAAATCTATAAATAACAAAAGCTCACTTACTATCAGTTTTATTCCTCAAAGATGTGAACTAATAAATAAAAATGTGATGATACTCAATTTGTCTCACCTCCTACTACCAGAGGTACCAAGTACGCAAAAAGAGTTAGAAGAAAAACTCAATAGGGTTGACAATATTAGTTGTCAAACACTTGGTACTTGCTAACTATATTACTCAGACACCTATCAGATGATCAATGTTGCTTTTTCCCCCTCTAATTTAAAAGGATTTCTTCAGATCAGACCTTCCTAGGATATATATGGCTCTGCTCCTATATGAACTTAATGTCATACTTAGTCTCATTATAGCATAGCACCACCATGCCCTAGCTACCCCTTTCTACATTAGCAAGTTACTATTCACAATTAAGAGATAAAGTTTTAGTTATGTAACCAAAAAAGGAAAACTCTAGAAACTGCATCAACACAGACAATATACAGTATGTTTTTAGTTTTCACAGATACTATGATAAAGACTTTTAGGACTTAAAGTCTCCACTGCACTCCACAATATTATGGTGTTGTGCACAGAGAGGCAGACTTGGGCATCAGAAAGACCTGGGTCCAAATCCTGTCTCAGATATACTAGTCCAAGTAATAGGGCACTCCCTTTTATCTTTCTCTGCCTCAGTCTCCTCATCTGTACAATGAGGAGTCCACTGCATCTCCAGCTCTAGGATCCTACTGTCCTACCCCAATGCTACATCAGGGTGTGGAGGGGACTCTGGGTTCTCAAAGGCTGTGGGAGAGGCAGGCTCCGGTCTGTCCTGCCAAGTACAGGCAGAGTAAATTTATTAAGCACTTACTATGCACCAGGTCTGACGGTGTCTATGTCTCCCAAAAACTCAATCAGCAAAGCTGTGAGAAGCTCATCACTGGAATATTAGCCAATTAATTCATTAAACAATCTCCTAAGACTGTGGAAAGAACATCCACACTGAAGAAAGCAAGAATTGTTTGCAGAGTTAATCAGACAGGTTCTCAAACTGAAAATGAAATGCTCACAGAAAATTTATTCTGTCAGCTATGCATAAAACGCTTCGAATCATTCTCAAGAAAGTTTTCGTGATTCAAGAATCCCACGGAATTGAGTAGTATACTTTGGGAATCAGAGGATAGTGGAACTGGGAGGGAACTTAAGAAATGATCTGTAAAATGAGAAAGGCTAGACTAGGTCAGTAGGTTCTAGACCTTTTCTAAGTCATGGGTAATCTGGAGGAAATCTACGGTCCCCTACTCAGAATACTATTTTTAAATGCATGATAAGAAACACACAGGACACATGTTTTCCCATCCAAGTTCACAGTCATCAAGTGAGAATGTTTAAGATCCGTTCAGCTCTAAAATTCTATGAAAAGCTGAGATCTCTTATCTAGCTGGCTGAGTCTCACTTTACAGGTGAGAACACTGAGGACCAGTGACCTGAGTGACCTACTGACAGGCAGGGGCAGAGCTTTATGGGAAGCCTCAGTCATTAATACCTCCCCTGCTGACCTGAAGCCTTCACAAAACACTTTGTGGTCCCCAGCTCACAGGTTGGGGGGCTGCAAGGAAACTTGGAGATCTAGCCCAACTCCATTTTACAGATGAAGAAACTGAGGCTCTTAGAGAAAGTGACTAGCCAAAGGTCACAGAAACAGAAGAACCCAAACCTAGGCCCTTTGACCATAACTCCAGCACTTTCTGCTAATCTCTCTCTGGAACTTTCTATGAGTCAAGAGCACTTAAAAGCTGTGATATTGGGCAGGCTCTTCACTCTCATCTTCAGTTTCCTCATCTCCCTAACGAGATGGCTGCATGCCACAAGTCCGCTTGAGTTCCTTTCAGGTTCTAACAGGCTACATTCTCCTAGTAACTGTGGTGCAGAAGAAACCTAGCACTCGCTTAAGTTTTGCTCTCTCCCAATTCAGAGAATAAGGCAGCTGGCACCTAAATGCTTGTTGACATGAAACAAACTCCTTCTTTCCATCTAATCTAAATTCAGTTTATCAATAAGCATCAAACATTTTCTGAGTATTTTGTAAAGAAGAAGGTGTTTTGGTTTCTGAAAGAACTTTTAATACAGCAGATGATCCAATTCAACATATTCAAAAGGCAGATGAAAGAAAAAAGGCCAAGTTCCACTTGGGCAGACCGGGATGAAAGATGCCTCTTCCCCAAGCCCTTCCTGTTCCAATTCTGCCACTTTGTAAGGTTCACGGATGTGGAAAGGGAAGGAACCTAAAAGCCACCCAGTGCAGGTATGCTTAAGCTCTCTGTAGCCTCTGACACCAGTGACCACCTTTCTCCTTCTTGGGACTCTTTTCTCTGGCTTTGGGGGACATCCCTCTCTCCTGGTTCTCCTCCTACCTCTCTGACCACTCCTCGGTCTCCTTTGATGGATCCCGGTCCAGGTCACACCCACTAACCTTGGAGGGCTCCACAGAGCACTTGGTGGTGTCATCATTTCCCACAACACCTGTCTGCTTCAGTTTTCTCAACTATAAAATAGGGATCATAATAGTGTCTATCTTACCAGGTTTTTGTGAGGATCAAATGAGATATATTTGTAAAATGTTTAGCACATGCTGGCACTTAAATGCATTTTTCCTTCCTTCCTTCCTCTCTCTCCTTTTTTTTTCTTTGTTCTTTTCATGCATTTAGTTACCTCTATACTGATTCTTTTCTTTTTCTTTTTTTTTTTAAAGGCAATTGGGGTTAAGTGACTTGCCCAGGATCACACACCTAGTAAGTGTCATGTGTTTGGTCTGAGGCCAGATTTGAACTCAGGTCCTCCTGACTTCAAGGCCGGTGCTCTATCCACTGCACCACCTAGTTGCTGCTATACCGATTATTTTCAAATCTAATGATTTAACCTCTCTGCTGACCTCCAGTCTTATGCCTAAAACTGCCTAGTAAACATCTCAAGTGGGACGTCTTGTAGACATCGCCAACTCAATGTGTCCGAAACTGAACTTCCCATTTCTTCCCTCCCCCCTCCTAACTTTCCTCTTCCTGTCAAGGGTAACACCACCTCTCCCCTTGGCGCCGAGCCTAAACATCATCCTCTGACTCTGTCACACCCAGATGATACACTGTTAACATCTCTTGTGTGCTCCCCTTTCTCTCCTCTGACAGGGTCATCCCCTGTGCTATTCCACACATGGACTACGGCAATGGCCTGATGGTTGGTCTCCCTTCCTCCTGTCTACTCCCACTTCAGTCCACCCTCTACTCAGCTGTTAAAGTGATCTCCTAAGCAAGTCTGATCATGTCACACACACCCTAGCCATGCGATGAAGCCCAATAGCTCCCTATCACCTTTGAGAGCAAATACAAAATCCCTTTTGTTGTTCAAGGCCCTACACAACCTGTCCCCTTTCCTACCTTGCCAGTCTTGTACCTTAGAGCCCATCTCCTCACCCCTATCCCATTCTGTAACCCAATGATACTAGCCTCCTTGCTATTCTTCAAACTAGACACTTCACCTCCCAATTCTGGGAGTGTTTACTAGCTGTACCCCAAGCCTGGAATTCTCCTCCTCATCTATGCCTCCTGGCCTCCTTCAAGGCCACAAAACCCACTTCCGTGAAAAGCCCTTCCCAATCTCTTTTAATGTTAGTTAGCACCTTCCTCCTGCTAAGCATCGCCAGTTTATCTTGTAGATGTCTTGTCTGTGCAAAGTCGTTGCACGTCATCTCCTCATGAGGCCCTTGAGAGCAACAACTGCCTTTTGCCTTCCTTTTTCATCACCAACACTCAGCACAGTGCCTGGCACATACTAGGTGCTTAGTAAATGATTATTAACTTGGAGTCTATGGGTCCATGGATAGATTGAGGGGTCAGGAACTTTGGATGGGCAACAAATTACATATTTCCATTACCTTGTAACTGAAATTTACCATTTCCTTCAATTAATCTAAAAACGTTATTCTGAGGCATCCATAGGTCTCCACCTGCTGATAGCAAAAAAGCTTTTAATCCCTGCTCTAATCCAACTGTATGTTACAGATAAGAAAACAGAAGCCTAGAAAGATTTAAAGAGATCTTGAAGGTCAGAATGATAGGAAAAAATCAAGACTGTGAAGCTTGAAAGGTAAATATTAAAGTTCTGTATTTGGTTTCAGAAAATCAACTGCAGAAGTACAAGATAAGAGAGGCGTGACTAAAACAGGTGTTCATCTGAAAAAAAAATCTTGGGGGGAGGGAGCAGGAAGTATTATAGGCCTGAAAGTTCAATATGAGTCAACAGAGCAAACTGCTTGCCATAAAACAGCTCATGTCATTTTAGGCTGTATTTGGAGATGCATAAAATCCAGCCTATGGAAGTGATGGCACTGCCAGAACCACACAGAACCATGTACATGCAGAGCTGTGCTCAGTTCTGGATTCCACCTTTCAGACTGAAGGCTGAAAAACTGGCGC